TAATGTAGTATTGGACTATAGATGTTTATGCAAATTCACAATTTATGGACTAATTTCTTTGAATATTTTGTTTCAGTAGTAAGAGTTGTAAAGTTAGAATCAAACTAAAAACACTAATTTTAAGTTTATTATTTGTTTTTTATTTCTTTTTGCACGTTCATACCTGCTATTTGTGAATGCCAAATGCATATAATCTGCAGTCTATTCAGTTATCTTCAGTTTCTTCAAATTACTTCATTTATTATTATTCATTTTAGAATACTAAAAACTGTAGTTTTTGATGTCTGGTTACATATAAGTAACAATCAATGATAAAATAACAGTTTTTCTCAGTAAGAACAATAGTCCTCACGATTTAGATATTATATAAATTTATAAATTTATAAAATAACACCTCTCTACTTTAACGACAATAAAAAATTTATCGTTTCAAGATTTTGTCTGCCATTGTAACAATAAAAAATTCCGCTCATGTGTACTGTAGTATGTGTAAGTTACGTAATATTAATTAACAATTTACTGATACATTGTATTAAAATTAACCGTTGCAGATCATTTAAATATCACTTTTATAAGTGATACTTGATATATTTAATATCGTTAATATATTTAATATTAGAAAACCAAAAACCGTCAACTGTTGTCGTAATTATACAATAAACGTCTTTACCACTAATTCGCTACAATATAAGTATGATGCTTCGCGATCGACGTAATTACACGACGTAACTTATGTACAATTGTGCGTTGATATATTAATACGTTATAAAAAAACACGTACGTAATCAGGTTTTGGATGTATTATCGTGGATCGAATGGAATTTTCATTGTGTTGACATACTGTTACGGTGGTAGAGATATAGTAAATTTGTAAATTAAAGAAGACGTGCAAATCTTGCCGTCATGTGAATCGTAAATTTATGGAATGACTTTCAGTTCGTTCGCCATGTTGATTCATTTTCGAGTTTTTCGAATTTCGGAGATTTCTTTGGTTTGTTGATAATTTTATTTTTCGTCAAAAGTATAAAATGTTGAAATATAGCACGTTTATAAACAATCAATATGGCGAAAGCTATTTGTCAATGGTAACTTATGTAATTGGTTTTCGTCTTAAGCTTTAAGACTCGTATGATCCAATTTTTGCTGTCATACCACAGAACTTGATCTATACTTTGTAAATTTGTTGTTTTTTTTCGACATTTTTTTATACCCTCTAACAGCAAGTTTCAACTTATAAGAATTGAAACATTAGATGAGTATGATTTGAAGGATTTAATACATCTCTTCTACTAATTTCAATCGTGATTTAATATTTTCAATAACTAAGAATTTTAAGAATTGCAATGAAACTAAAGGAATTGAACTGGAAAGCTTTACATACCTACTGTTGTCCAAAATCCGAAATTTTGTGTAATTAATAATAGCGATAAACCGTATTCTATTTAAAAAATTAATTAAACTGTTCGTTCAAAAGTTGTTCGTCGATGGCAACATTTATTTAATAGATTACACAATGCTCGTCGTATTGTAGGAAATCTTTCAAAATAGTAGTTTATAATAAGTTTTTTGCAAAGACACGAATGCATTAATAATACAGTGTAATGAATCGTAAAAAAATACGAAAACCCCTTTTCTTTTCACTCGTTATGATATAAAATACATTCTTTTCATCTGCAGTTTTCCAATCACCAATGTTAGACAGAATGCTGCAACGTCCGTTGTTAAAAATTCAGGTACTATTTAAATGTTTATTTCCTTAAATTTTGCTTTGCTTATTTCTTGTACAAGCAAGTATACAATGTTTGAATAGATTTCGTTGTAATTAAAGCATTGGAATCTTAATATTAATTTATAATCAGTTTTCGAACACCGCTGATTTGTATTCAATATAATATCAATTGTTATTAATAATCTTACCTAGACTGCATATTTTCAGTGAATGGCCGAAACAGGCAAAGAATTAAATTTTAATATTGCCTAATTAAATCTTGCCTTTGATCTCAATATAATAAAACCTGTGATAGAAGGAATTTTTCATTTAGCTCCAGTCTTCCTAAACCAGCATACGGAAATCTGCATTTGCACACATATTAGCAGTCTAGTCATACCGTTGACAAGTATATTTACAATAATCTTGATAAAATAACCGAAGAGTATTTACAGAAAAAGAATTCAGAAAGTTTAACTGGCCTGTGACGAAATTAAACGAAAAAGTCCATAGACTTTGAAAACCACGGAATTCGACGATCGTTTTTAATTTTTCGCGGGATACTCGTTCCTGATTCGCCTTGTAAAATTTCATCCCGGTGAGATGATATTATTTTCGCCCGTTCGCTGGATTAAACGTGAAACTTTTTTCATCAGCGGTCGTTAATTCCCTTAAAATATACCGCGATCATCGAACAATCGCACAGCAATATTATCCGTTCGTTTTCGCGGTGTGAAGTAGGTTGCGAAACTAACACACAGAACGGAAATGAAATTTGATAATGGAGCTCTTTACCCCCGTCAGACTCATCCCATCCACGATTTGTAACAATTCTACCGTCGCGGTTTCTTCATTTTGCTGGACGCTAAGGCAGACGCGCATTGGCCGATGATCAATTCCAGACGATAACTGACAACTTTCCGGTCTTCGAAAACTTCTGCAAAGACCTGATTCACGAACTTGGGTACGTTGGGATGAAATTTGAAAATGATATTCTCCGCGGTAACGTCAGTGACGTCTTTTCATTCCTCCGATGGAATATCCTGGACATTTGTTCCTTAAAATAGACCTTTAATATCTCATATGTTTCTTCTAGGTTAAAATTAATCTTGGATTTCCTTTTTTTATAAAACTATACTCAATTTTTTACTCCGGGAAATACTCGAAAAGTGAATAAACTTTTTGAGTCACTGAAAAATATTATAGGGTGACTGCATCTGATATCGCCAAACGCGAAATACCGCCACTAGTAATGTTTCGTGAAAAAATTGATAAAATCTGTTGGTAATTAACTAAACTAATGGCCAAGCATATGTAACAAGACGTAGGGTATACGCGCCAATGAATGAACACTTAGGAGATTTTGTAAGTATTAAAATCGAATTAAGAATGATAATAATATTACACAATAAATATTGATAATAATCTTAATAAATAATAATAACGAAAATTAGATTTTTTAATATCTGTAGCTTTTTTCAATTTCAATTTGAAAAATTGGAAACATGTAATTAAGTAAAAAAGAAAAACTTTCATTCAAAAAAGATTTCACCAGTGAATGAACAATATTAAGTAAATGAACATTTCTAACCAATGGTGCGAAATCTGTTTGAATATGAAACATGGAATTGAAAAAAAAGATATTTAACCATTTGCTTATTTGAATAACTTAATTTACTAGTTTTTATATAATATAATGTTCATTCAGTGATATGTGTTCATTTACTGGTGCATTCACCCTATTATGGTTGCAACGACTAGCAAATAAGAAATAATTTAGTGAATTTCGATAGTGTAAAAATATATTAAACCGTGACAATTTTACGTCACCTTGGGAAAGCCAAGTTGAAAAATTCTATGAATACATGAACATTTACTGGGAGTATTTAATTAATGACACGCTTGAGCAATTTAATCGGTTCCAATATTTTTGTTAACGGAAACAGCTTTTTCGTGTTGTGGCCAGCGTGCACTCAATATCGCTTACCTTTCAGTGTAGTGTTTGCTACAGACGACGAGACGAAATTTGTAAAGTTACAGAGCTGTAAAAGATCGTCTAAAAAAATATCTCATAATATAAATATTCTGAAATTATATTTCTGTATTTTTATAATAAAGACATTCTTTAAACATAATCCCATTGGAAAAATGATGTTTACTTGTCTTGTTTTTTCCAAATACGATTGAAAATTTTTGGGTTTTAACACTTTTAACCTGGTGTATATGAACTGCATACAGTTTCTTTTTTATCTGAGTCTAATTAGATAAAAAAATACCAATTACCCTTCAATTGAGAACGATTTAAATTTGGGTAGGCGATATTAGTTGCGCTTAACCATGAGTAGTATAAGTTTAATTTACATCTGGCATCACAGCGAAGAAAGTCAGAAAGGCTGCGGTACTTTGATCGAAACAATAACAAGTTATCTATAAAGAAATCTAAATAAAACATTATTTAGAGTAGAATATGTACATTTTCTAGTGTATAATCTCAGTCTAATAATTTCCACGTTTCAGCCTACTCTAAACAGATTGTTTATTTATTACAACTATGTCTGCGGTTGAATTCCGTAGAATAAAAAAAAAATGTTACATATTCCACAATCACAGGCCTTATAAACGTTCTGAACAACATACATCATATTAAAATGTTCCTTCTTTTTTTTTACTATACCTCCTTTAATTTCACCAACATTTTGCAATAAAACGCGGATGCCAAGGATTTCATGAAAATTCCAGACGAAGTATAACGCAACGCGTGTAACAAACCAGGTAGTTTGCGACGTTGTTGTTACACGTACGATTCCCTTGGAATTTTTGTGCTACCATTAAACATCGTAATTATCAGAACAACCATCCGCTCCAAGTCACGCCATTCATTTGATCTCAACAGACACCAACTCTGAACGTAATAAAACCTTTTATAGAACACTGGTGTCATTGATGATCCCGGAAAATGAAATCGAATAATGAACTCACCGACTCGATTCTTTCGTGAAGCATCCATCTCATGGTACAAGAAAGCTTCTTCATAGGTGATTGCTCCGCAGTATGCTCGGTCGTCAATTTAATTTCAGTCAGAATACTAACGGGTTATGATGGGTGATTTGAATGAAGGGGGGATTTATGTCTTACTGTGTCCAACGATCCATCGAATTGCACATAATGCTCGATAAGATACAACATTCACTTCCGTACTCATACGCACGTACCCACACACACACACACACACACCGCAGCCGACTGACAACACACACACACACTCGCATACGAGACCGTACGAGAACACACATTATCTCAATTGACCGAAAAAAAAGGCGAGCATCACGAGGACCGTCTTCGATGTCGGCGAGCCTGCCGCACCCTGCATTGCAGCTGGACGCTCCCCTGGAACAAGAACAACGAGATTCGGATTAGTGTCTGGCCTGGACTGCAGGCACCTCACTTGCGAGCAGTTTCTTTCGCGCGTTCGTCCCAGTTTCCCTGGGAACGACGAAGCTCGAACATTAGAGCTTTGTTCCGTATATCTTCGTTGCTCCCTTTTTTTTGGTTATACTGGGCCCCGCGAGAGCCGGTTGATTGGTAAGAAATTAGGAGCTGACGTTAAGTGTTTTAGTTTGTACCGTACTGTTGGTTGTTGTATAAGGTCCGCGTACCAGAATCTATGAGTGTCAGGACACGTAGATGTTGGGGAAATTCTGTGCAATATCTTACGAATATAATTGAGGCCATTGGTGGAAAGAGGACATATACGCTAAAATGCTATTTTAAAGAAATCGACTTTAAAGTTTTTATCAGAGTATGACTTAATGGAAAGTATATACATTTTTTTAATGTGTAGTAATAAATATATCTTTCAAACGGTCTAGAAAGAGAAGTAATTTGAAGTTTTCAAAAATTGGAGTATGTGCCCTTTTTACATAAATCGCACATCAGTGGGTTTTTTTGTATATTTGATTAAATATAATTACTTACTAAGTTTACAATTTTTATTCATATTGTTTAAATAAAAAATGCGAAATTGAGTGGAAAAATAAACAAGACATTTAATTTTTTAAGGAAGTCTTATTGTATAAGTTGAAATGTTTAATTTTTGTCCTTTGCAACTCCAATCAGTTATGTATATGTATGTATATTCGGGGTGTCACTTAAGTGTACTACCAAAATTTACTCATAAACGACTTCTATTAGAAAAAGTTTTACATGGCAGTTGTTTGATATCGAGCGGAACATATACATGTATAATGTAATAATTAGTTTTTTGATATTTTGCTTTTTTATTGAAATATGAAGGTGTCCCTGAGTTTTGTATCATAATGTGTAGTATTGACCCTGCGATTCGAAAGAATATTGAATGCTGAGTAACAAATTACTAGATAAATAAGTTCAAAAACTAATAATTACCGAGATATACTTTAATTAATCTTTAATGTAAGTAATGCATGAAATCCTGTATCAAGCAGACAAATGTTCTATGGACTTGTTATGCACAGAAGTTCCATCATTCTTCATTGAAGAATATCTCGGTAATTGTTAGTTTTTGAACCCATATACCTTTGTAGCTTTTTACATAGCATTCAGTATTCTTCTGAATAGCAAGGTCAAATATTACATATTATAATACAGAAACTCAAGATCACATTCACATCTCAATAAAAAACATTAAAAAAAATTGTTTTAATTCGATGACTTTTCATAGAGTTATCGTCTTCGAAAGTATTGCGGGTATTTCATTGTCACCCTGTACATGCTGACGCGGCGATTCTTCAGTGCGGCTAAGCCTTTGGTTTGCGCAGCGAGAAAGTGGCCCTATAGAGGGTGTAATAAAAGTTTTGTAGGTCCCTGAAATGGGTCATTCGTAAGGTGATTTAGAACAAGTTTTTCCTTAGCAAAAATGTTTTCCGAAGCTTTGACAACGAGATATTAACGAAAAACCCCGACCAATCATAGCGTGAGTCTGTCAGCCTGCTTGAGTGACGCATTTCAGGGACTTGCAACACTTTTGTTACATCCTGCATATATGTACAACACATATCTGAGTCGATTTAAACGATTTACGGAAAAAGTGCACATACGCATGTGCGCACCTTTGTCATCAATGATCTGAACTGAGGGGTTCAGTGGAAAAGGGACACATGCCATGCTATGTTTGTTTTTAGCTTGTTATGCTATCAATAGCTTCTAACCTTACTTTTACTAAAAGTAGTTCTCTAAATTTCTTCTATGTCTCACAATTGTTAAATGGACTTTTTCATTAAAACACTAAAAAAATAGGCGACTTTTAGGTTTTCTTCTGTAGAAAAGTATAAATCATATAGCAAAAAATGTTATGGCCTTCATTTATACATTATTTGGATATATCAAAACAATGTTTTCTTTTAAGTTCCTGTAGTGTGATTTTTTAGATACCCCTCAGTGTAGGTATTGCTACAAAAATAGAAGCTTTGACGGTAGCAAACATTATTCGACATAGTCTGAAATCAATAAATCAAATAGATTCTTGAATGTTATATCAATGGCTATCACATCAGCTTTCCAAAAATTAATTCATGTTTTCCATTAATTAACTATTCCATGTATAAAAAAGTAATATAGTATACAATACAAAAACAGAAATACAGAAAAAGGAAAAAAGAGATATAAAAATGGATGATGTAATTACAAACAAAACTTCTGTCTGCATACTAGAATGTTCGCGGTTACAATCGCGTCCCGATTGATTTCTCGCTAATTGACACGCGATGGAGTAATGTTCGTTGACGGGATAAACCAGAGAATTATTGCTATCGGCAACGGGAGAGGCATGACGTATATTGGATTAGGTGTCCATTTCGTATAAGCAATTAAATAGTAATTGCAATCAACGGATTTCAGTGTTCCGAGGATGAATCAAGGAGGTGTCGTGCACCCTTCTGAGGGAAGCAATACCTTAACGGTGCTATACAGGGTGTCTTAGCTAACTTGGTCGCCTCGCATGATGACTTAACGGTACACTTATGAAATTTTTTATAAGAAACGAAATACTTTATGAAAATTTTGAGGCGTGGAAATTAAATGGCATTAAGGGGCACATCTTACAAGGTATGTGTTTTTTTGTGGGTGAAGGCATTACAGAGATTTCACGGTCACCTTGATTTTTTCTAATGGAATTACCTATCTTTTGTATTATAGATCGATACAGTATCAAATTATTAGTAAAAATGTGTTGACCTTCATACGTCCTAAACCTAATGGTTAACGTAATATTTACAAAATAGTTTTTAATTCGTACTTACTATCTGGAAGCTACAGGTGCTCGAACTGATACCCCTCAATTTCAATAGAGCGATTTCAATACAGTGATTCTTTTGTAAATATTTTTGTTAATTATTAGGTTTAGGACATATGAAGGTCAACAAATTTTTACTCAGAATTGGATACTCTATCGATCTATGGTACAAAAAATAGGTTATTCCGTTAACAAAAATCAAGGTGACCTTGAAATTTCTGAAACGCCTCTAGCCACAAAAAAAGCACGTACCTTATACGATGTGCCCCTCGATACTATTTAATTTCTACGCCTCAAAATTTTCATACAGTGTGCCGTTAAGTCATTATTCCAAGTGATCACGTTAGCTGAGACACCCTATATATACAGTAGTTGGTACCAAAAATATTTGCACACGCTTCTTTTCTTTGACGTAATTTTCTGGATCGTAATAATATATTATAAAAATTTGTATGTTGTCGCAGTTTAAAATTTTCAATGCATTAATCTTGTAAACAATGTGTCGTTTTATTATTGCAAAATCTTTTTGTATCCACTTGCACGTTCCAAATCGTGGAATAATTTAGATAATGCGTATTATTATCTATACTTGTTCCTGTGTATCTTTACTATTAAGTACGCTAATATAGGTGAATTAGGTTTTTCATAAATAGGTAGATTGAAAACGTAAAGTGAAAAACAGTTGTTCATTATAAAACACATAATAAATATTTTTTTCAAAGTAAGAATGAAATTAATTATCGTGTAAAGTAATTTATTTAAACAGTTATACGTTATTGATTTTTTTCGCATCTTTTCTTGTTTTTAAACAATACTATGTGAGTAATAATTCACTGTAATGATGCTGAATGAACACGGTCGAGGAAATCGATAGCGAAAATCCAACTGGTACGCCTGCATTTGATCACCACTTATTGTCAGTTCCTGTGTCTGTTCATTAGTGGCTATTTCCACTTGCTTTTCCACCAGTACTTTCCTATGAATTGTTACTTAGATAATAATATAATCAGAGGAAAACAGATACGTGTGTAATCATGAATGTTTGTTACAAGTAGAAATAGTGAGATATGATCAGACATTGTTTGTGTCATGTAAAGTATTCACACATGATGAATTTTCAAAATCGATTTTGTCGATAGCGAGGTCACATAAAAAATGTTAACCCACGTAAATACTATTCCTTTTCACATAAAATCAATTTGCGTAATTTCATATGTATTAACCCTCGTCCACTGTTCAAGTAATTTGACCAAAATTCAGATTTTAATTTTTAATTACATTCTTTACCACAGAAATTTGTAAATTACTTTGATACCCGTAGTTTATATACAAACGTTCAAGCTAAATGTAAGTATATTTTCTTAATTCGGTTTTAGCTTAGACAAAGTTTAATTCAAGCAACAGTAATGCAACAATTTATTGAAAAGTGTACAAATATTAGATATGTTTTATTAACTATAGGATATTAGATATTTTATTAGGAAAATCTTAAGGTAAAAGATTTGAAGGATAAATTAAAAAAATTTGAGAATTTAAACAATATTTTTATTTGATAGTTCTTTTTGTATAAATTGTTACAAATAGTTTATATTCCTATTCCGGCTTTTAAATGAACACATTTTAATATGCATAAATTCGATGCTAATGCTGGATGCCGTCAATGATTACAATTGAAGATAAATAAATTAATTATAATAACAGTGACCATGTGCAAGTTAGTGGTGCGTAATTGATATTCGCCGCGCGGCCCAAAACAACAAATTAACTCTACCTCGGATTTCGATTACTATGTGTCATATGTGTGCGCAGTTTGTCATTTACATTTTCCGAGTCTTGAAAATTCGACTTGTGGTTTCTGTGTTCTCATTAACGGAATTTATGGACATCATAAACTTGATTAGTGATTGCGGAAATGGTGAACCCTGTTGGTCAGTGTTACCGGACGTAAAAGTGGAGATTTGGATAGCATGCATATAATAGTAAACAATTATAACAATGTGGCCATTATGTAATAAATATTGTAATTCGACATAATTTAGTGAATGTATAGAATTTATAAATAATAGATATAAATTTGAAATGTAAGAAAAGTGTTAATAAAATCAAATACAATAAAAAT